AGCAGAAATGATAAAGCTGGCCAACTCTCTGTGGGCGGGGAAGTTTTCATAGCTGTGCTTTAAGGGAAGGAGTGGGAAGTCAGTTTGAGAACCCTAACCAAGCCTTTTCAACCTGCTGACCCAAAGCTAATGCAACACAACTCTCTCAAAGCTTCAAACAACCTAAAGCACTGTGTAAGTGCACGACAAAGACCAGGTAGATAAAACAGAGCGGCTGACCACAGCAGAACACAGAACAAAATCCATTGGTCTGCTCTGTCAGAGAGAGAGCGATGGAGAGAGCTAAAGCAAGCCTGATTAATGTGTGCTAGCCAAATGTGTTTGGTCAGGTCAGTGAGTAGAGCGGGGTTAAGACCTAAATGCACAGACAAATGTTTAGCAGGAGGAAAGGAAAGAAAAACAGAAGACAGACATCAGAGAAAAATAGGGGACAACAACTCTCAACCTAATATGTAATGCATGCCTGCTTAGTCACTTGCAATTGTTTAATCATTAATGAGGCACTGAGTAGTAAAAATACATAAAAAATATTAAGGAAACAGATTTTTGAAGAAAATTTTGTGCAATTCATTAGATATTGAAGATACAGTCGCAGACAGGGATGCCATCCATTTTATAGTTTCTTTGTGTACTCTAAATGCACAATTAATAAGGACAATATACTAAAAGTTTGGGTAAGATTTTTTTGTCTCTTATGCTCACCAAGGCTGTGCTTGCTTAATTTAAAAATACAGTAAAACAGTATAATTGGATCACGTGTGCCTTGATAACAGTATAACTTTTTTCTTTGATGAATACAAAGGTTTTTTTTTTTAACTGAATTTATTTTAATTAGAAATCTTTTGTAACATTTTAAATGTCTTTACTGCCACCTACTTTTATCAACACCAACTCTACTGACCCCAAACTTTTGAACAGTCTATTTTCCTAAATAAATATTGCCAAATATTGGCAAAAAAATTTAGTTCATTATCCTAAATGTAGGCTTTCCACGGTTGCCAAGCAACGTAACAACTTTTCATATTATACATTGTTTATTTATAGTCATTTTACTATGAATAAGTCATATGGCACATCTAATCGATGATATTTCTGAATATTTTTTAGCTTCAGAGTTAATAGGAAATAGAGATTACACACCACAGCATATCTCATATTGTTTAACCCAGAGGCCATTTAATAAGACCGCTGCCATAATAAGGTTCATTAGCACTACAGCATGTTTACCTCAGGAAACTGCTGATAAATGCAAGCACAAGAAACTCATATAATGTGCATGTGGGGGCGGAGAGAGAGTGGGTGCCATAATATGCCTGTTAGCTGATCATTTCTGCTCAAGGTGTACTCTCATTTGTGCAAAACTGTGTTCAAATGTGAGATGAGACTTAAAGCCAATGAGGTCACGCTTGCTCAAGGTCACTCTGAGAAAACCTTCATCCTCATTTGAAGGGAATCAAGTCTCATCAACTGACCTTTACACAGTCACGCCAACTGTCACCCAGGATCCTCAACAGGTGAACAGTCAGTAGCAAATACTTAAACTAATAACAAAACAGTAGCTGATTCAGAAGCACCAGATTGTCATAGCAAAGTCAGAATTACCTCCTCTCCTAGGTTCACGAAATGGTCGTCCATAAAATGCATTGCTGTTCTGTTCATGTCTCCCTGACATGCTGCTTCAACACTAACTGCGGTTACTGAAACCACACCTTCTTTCTTTGTGTGCACATTTGGGCGGCATTATGCAAATATTTCCACATAGTGAGGTAGATATGTGGGGGCGTGTTAGAACGAGCCGTTTTAGGGGGGCGTGGCAGAGTCTTAACTTTGATAAAGAATATCTCTTTGGTTTTGAGACTTTAGTCTTTGCAACTTCAGGGATCTTATCTATGCACAATCAGCTTGTAACACTCCAAAGAGAAAGGAAAACTTGAAATCGCATCATATGACCCCTTTAAGGATATAATCTTATTTTAGATTTTAAATAAAATATACATTGAAAACTTATTTTATTTCAGCATTTTTTTAGTTTAACTTGATGTAATAAACTACTAAAATTGACAAAAGTTAATAATTAATAATAACTATGAACATATTTAAAAACAAAAACTAATAAAAAAATGACAAAATGAAAAAGGCATCTAAATGAGACACAATGTACAATGACCACTAAAATGCATCACTGACCATATAATCCTATATAATCCTACATAGTATTACTGTTTGTCATGTCACTCTTATAATAAAATAATTTCAATTCAAATCAATATTTAATGGCAATTTATTATTTATTTGTTAAGCAGCCATGTAATAAGAGGGATGATGGTCACTATCATAAAATAAAACTCAACAGGGTGCTAAAAACCTGGACTAAAACAGTACCTTATCACTTACATGCAAATATAGAATGATAGCATTATATAAGAGTAATGACAAAAACACCCATCATGAGTTTGAGTCCTTCCATTCCACAAATTGTTTGTTCCTTCAGCCAATCAGGGCGGCTCACATGTGCATCTTAATAATTTGCCACTAATCACTTCTTTAATTAAAGTGTCTACCCCTGAGGATTTGGGTTTGAATTGAGATTTTATCCTGGGGACTAGGCATTTTTTATTTCTCTGTAATTAGACAGCCTAGTTAAGCTTCATTGGCCTGTTGAGAGCTTGTTTTTAAATTGATCTTTTGAGGAGTTGAATAAAAAAATTAAAAAACTTTATAACAATTTTTGTTTTCACTTTGTGACTGAATATTAAAATGTTCTGTGCAGACAATGCTAAATAGCCTAGTATATATGAACATTAGAATAACATTTAAATTTCATTATAATGATAGCATTATATAAGAGTAATGACAAAAACACCCATCATGAGTTTGAGGCCTTCCATTCCACAAATTGTTTGTTCCTTCAGCCAATCAGGGCGGCTCACATGTGCATCTTAATAATTTGCCACTAATCACTTCTTTAATTAAAGTGTCTACCCCTGAGGATTTGGGTTTGAATTGAGATTTTATCCTGGGGACTAGGCATTTTTTATTTCTCTGTAATTAGACAGCCTAGTTAAGCTTCATTGGCCTGTTGAGAGCTTGTTTTTAAATTGTTCTTTTGAGGAGTTGAATAAAAAATAAAAAAACTTTATAACAATTTTTGTTTTCACTTTGTGACTGAATATTAAAATTTTCTGTGCAGACAATGCTAAATAGCCTAGTATATATGAACATTAGAATAACATTTAAATTTCATAATTTTTTGTGCACTACACTTTTGTCTCTCTCATTATAATGTCTGGTTAGCGAGTAAAATGTAAGTGATGCTGTCACCACACTTGACTTAAATCTGACATCCGCCTGCATGTCTTCCACGTATGACAGTCAGCGGAAGTGAGAAAAAAGTGTTTATTACATTAGAAATATGGATAATTATCTTACAAAAATGCAGGAGGCCTTTCTTCACCCCCCCGGAGCCGTGTGAGGGACGTTTTATTACGGATGCACGCACTTTATTTCATGTCTTCTAAACTGTTGACAACCAACACCCGCTTAGCCCCATTGAAAGGCTTGGAGGGGCCAGGACAATTTTCAATATAAGGCCAATTGGATTCGTCTGAAAGAAGAAAGTCACATACACCTAGGATGCTTTGAGGGTGAGTAAAACACAGGCTAATTTTCATTTTTGGGTGAACTAACCCTTTAAAAAAACAGAGCTCTCACTGGTGAACATCCGATTTACACTTACTAAATACAGTGGTCCAACTGTGACGCCACGTGGTGAAACGAGTATTGCATGCATGTGCATGTGTCTACAGACCCTCATAGTATGGAATGACAAACCTGACAAAGTTAGAAATAAATAAATACATAAATAAATATACAAAGAAATGTAAAATAAATAAATAAATAAATATACAAAGAAAGGTCAAAAGAAAAACAAAAATAAATGATTGTTTATACATTTATTTCCTTATTTACTTACGTGTTTAATTTTTTCCACATTTATTCATTTTTCTTTTATTTATTTATACATGTATTGATTTCCACATTATGTATTTATTTACGTATTTATTTCTATATTTATTTATTTCCACATTTATTTATTTATACATTTCTTTGTCTGTAGGGTAATGAGGAGGGTGTTTTACCTAAAGTCATCAGAGCCAGAGTAGGCAAGCTTTGAGGCCACAGTGACACCTTGTGCTGTGCCCAAACGAAATACAAGTGTAGCCTACATGATGTGTCTGTTCATGATGTGTCTGTTGAGAGTGGCGAATGACTAAGATGGGCAATTCATTTAATATCACCCTATCTGTATGTATAGGCTCCTACGGAGTCCCTAAATCGACATATTGGTGGAAAAATTACGGGGTGGGAGGAAAAAAAATTAATTAATATAGAAATAAATACATAAATGTATAAATAAATAAAAGAAAGATAAACGTGGAAAAAATATTAAATATACATAAATAAGGAAATAAAAGTATAAAAAAAAATTTCTTTTCTCATATTTATTTATATATTTATTTTTGCTTTTTTTTTTTTACATTTCTTTGTATGTTTATTTATGTATTTATTTATTTCTAATTTTGTCATGTTTGGCATTCCATATGACAGACCACACACAAACCAAACATATGTTTGCTACAACATAATTATGCTTACTGTATTTGCGTATATTGGAAAGTTTGTAGCACTGAACATCATGAACTGGAAGGCTGTTTCAGTAGGGTCTTTTAGGACAACCTATAGAGTGAAACGAGAACATTTGTTCTGAACCCACTACCAGTGATTCTGTAGTCATAAACATAGTGGAAAAATGTGGGGAAATGACTGTGCCGTTCCCTACCTGCACACAATATTAAATGAACAAACCGCGCACGCGCACTCACACTCGGACAGACGCCATGCTCCCGCTCCTAACCGCCCTACCATCTGATTGGCTAGTTTGAAGTCCACCGAGAACTCCGATTGGCTGCTTTTGAAATACGTCTACGCGGCCAGTTTGAATCAAGGAACTCGCAGTTCATTGAGGTACACAACCTCCGCACGCTCTTTATGTTCTCAAAGAACTTCGTCAAGATATCGGAGGAAAATACCAGAGTTTGGTTATTCATCCAGATTCGATATAGTTATAGAGAAGGTGAGTGCTAATATATGAAAATGATTGCCTTGTTATCAATTTTGATTCTGATCGCTGAACGTTGTAAATTTGCTCAGGCACCCACTGGGCAAAAATCCCTGAGTCATTTAACTTCAGCATGCAATTTATACTGTAATCTTAATATAAGGATAATCGTTTGATTAGCATGATTTACAAATAAAGATGCTGAATAAAAGCAGATCGCTATATTTATCGCGTTTCCCTTGGTTTTTAACACGTTTCTGTCGCATCTTGATTTAAAGTGGTCACATTGGTTGATTTGCAAAACATGGATATAAAAATGTGAAGCACAAAATTATGAATCATCAGAAATGTCAATGTATTGTATAATGTTTGCGATGACTAATGGCAGAAAGGTCAGTCTTTTATGCCTCGTGAGTATGTGTATTTACACAGCACATCTTATTAGATAGTATGTTTAAAACATAAATCTGAGCAAGTGTGTTGCAAATAAGTTTGTTTGACACATCTAGATTGTTGATGGCACATCATTTTTTGCAGTATCATTCAGTATGTTAAGCTGTCATAAACTTACGTTTTTTCAATCTTTTGTTTTTCTTCAAAGTATTGAGAAAATGGATGACTATCTGAAGATAGAGAAAATTGGTGAAGGTAAGTTGAATCTTACTTTGTGTAGAGTCAGCTGACTAGTGTTGTCACCTGGCCTCTCTCTCAATGTGTCCCTTGTAGAGTTTGTTTCGAGGCAGAATATGAGAGTCCCTGTTAGATTTTTTTCTGTAGATATGTGTGTGTCTGCTCCTTAGGTACATATGGTGTGGTATATAAGGGCAGGAATAAAACCACTGGACAGGTGGTTGCTATGAAGAAGATCCGCCTGGAGAGTGAGGAGGAGGGGGTTCCCAGCACCGCTGTCAGAGAGATCTCCCTCCTCAAGGAGCTCCAGCACCCCAACGTTGTACGGTAAGACACTGAGGGTTTTCATTACATCTTTCTGATTATCTACATAAAACAGAACCAAAACCCCTAAGTTGTACTACTTAGAATTCGATATTGCAAAAGATTATGTTGATAAATATGTATTTATAGTGACTTCATCATGTTTTCTGCTGAGTTCAACTTAACGCTTTATAAATCAAGTTGTCCTAACCAACAAAATGACTTCTGTATATACACTACTGTTCAAAACCTTTGTTTTTTTTTGTAATGGTTTTTAAAAGAAGTCTCATATGCACACCAGGTGCTGCATTTATTTGTTTAAAATGTAGTAAAAACGGTAGTATTGTAAAACTTAAAATAGTTTCACAACTTAAAATAACTGTTTTCTATTTTAATATATTTTAAAATATAAATGTAACAAACAGCTGCTTTGGAAAATGATGGTTTCCAGTTTCATTAATGCTTTATGTATGGACACATACCTCCTCTGTTCCCTTTTTACAGCCTGCTGGATGTGTTGATGCAGGAGTCAAAATTATACCTGGTGTTTGAATTTCTGTCCATGGATCTGAAGAAGTACTTGGACTCCATCCCATCAGGCCAGTTCATGGATCCCATGCTGGTCAAGGTGCATTAAATAGTGTACAACATTAAAAGATACAACTTTAGCTTAGCTTATGTGAAGAATATTTAAAAAAAAAAATCCTTTATTTACGTCAACATTTTTTAATTATTATTATTATTTTTAAAAAATCATTATTTAAATCTTATTTTAAATTCCTTTTTTTCCAATGTAGACCTTTGAAACCTTTGTACTGATGTGTCTGCTTCATAATACAGTACCGTTTGAAGTATTTTTTTTTTTAATGAAATTAATACTTTTGTTCAGCAAAGATGCAGTAAATTGATCAAAAATTATAGTAAAGACTTTTATAATGTTACAAAATTGGTTTCAAATACATTTTATTTTGAACTTTCTATTCATCAAAGGAAAACTGCATCAAGGTTTCCACATAAATATTAAGCAGCACAACTGTTTTCAACATTGATAAAAATAAGCACCAAATCAGCATATTAGAAAGATTTCTAAAGAATCATGTGACATTGAAGACTGAAATAGTTGTACTAATATTTCACAATATTACAGTTTTACTTTGGTGAGCATAAGAGACTAAGTTCAAAAACATTTAAAAGTCTCACCAACCCCAAACTTTTGAATGGTAGTGTCAACACATTCAGATTAGTTTTTCATGCTCCAAAATGTATAAATTCTACTACTTTCCCCATTGTTTTGTTTTGATTTATGTCAAATTGTACAGTAGATCACAAGTATAGAGTCTGTCCCTGGAAGTAATTGTAACTGGATGTGTGTGTGTGTCCTCTTTGTAGAGTTACCTTTATCAGATCCTTGAGGGGATTCTGTTCTGCCACTGTCGCAGGGTTCTGCATCGTGACCTAAAGCCCCAGAACCTGCTGATTGATAATAAAGGTGTGATTAAGCTGGCAGACTTTGGGCTGGCACGTGCCTTTGGAGTCCCGGTCAGAGTGTACACACATGAGGTACATGATAGCAATTTCTCCTTTCTCAAAGCGTTCTGTAATCAATCAGGCTGATGTGTTTGTTCTCACTGTGATTGCAAAGGTGGTCACTCTGTGGTACAGAGCTCCAGAAGTCTTGCTGGGGGCCTCTCGTTATTCCACGCCCGTAGATGTCTGGAGTATTGGTACCATCTTTGCTGAACTTGCTACCAAGAAACCACTCTTCCATGGAGACTCAGAAATAGACCAGCTCTTCAGGATCTTCAGGTATACAGACTTCTGGAACAACTTTGATATTGTTACTAGGGATGTTCATTTTAACCGGTTAACCGGCCGTAATAATTTTTGACTGATTAATGCAATCAGTTAAATGGTTTAAAAAGTCATTTATTTTTCAGTAATTTATCAAAATATTTAAAAAGGTTTGCTGCATGGTTAAAATACGCTACGCGTATATAAAAAAAAAAACAAAAAACCGCAAGTCGCGTATAAGTCGCATTTTATTATTTCATTCAAAAATAGGCCTAATGCCGACGCGAAATGTTTACAAACATTATAATAAACACTGTAAACATAGCTAGGCTATTTTAGTTCCCCTCACTCCACAACAAATCCTTTCGATTAACAGTATTTAGAAAAGAACAATAATTAAAAATATAAGAAGCTATAGCAATATAAACGACAAGCCAAAATGAATTCATTTAGGCTAGAACGAAACTGAAACCAACGTTGGGTGTCTCATTCGACATAAAATCAAATGTTTCCATATTCACGATGTATTTGAATGCCAAATTATTATTTATTATGTAGCCTGCTTCACTGGCATTCGAATATCCACGTAAAACAAAATGTTTTTCATAACATCACGGCGGTACGGTGATAATGCTTAACGGCACAGATTTTACTACATAATTAAACTGAGCAGTGTGTTTTTTCCCCCCCATATGTTTGACTGACTATTTTATTATGATAATGAACAGGCTGCATTGTCAAGGTAGCAATGCTTAACTGTGTGTGCGCATGCGGCGCCGTCGCAATCACTTTTTTGTTGTTTTTTCCATCTAACAGTGGAAGCAACTACTCCTTTTAGTCCTAAAGATAATCGGAATTGTAAAAGGTTTGCTTTTATTTGTGTACATTCACAATAAAAACAAATCTTTGTGCTTTTGTAAAATAAGCTTAAAGAAAAATAGGATGCCGCTCTGTTGTCTGGTTTCCTTTCACGCAGCACAAAAATGAACCGAAACTCTGCATGCTAGGACAGATGCTACTTGCACAGTTTTTCATTCGTTTTCTTAATTTATTATTTAAGTAAAAATATATTTCTCGTATAGGCCTATTTATTATTATTATTATTTTATTATATTATTATTATTATATATATATAGCCTAGCTTTATTATGTTTTTCTCCGCTCGCAGAAGCGCTGCAGGTGCGTGATGTGATATGATGACCATGTGAATCCTCATGTTCTGTTTGCTGCTTTTTGCGCATGTAAAATTAATCCTCGGGAAACAAATGTTAGTATTTTTAACTGGTCACAGACACTTATCCTTTCTAATTTAATTCAATTCTAATTTAAAATAATCGTGTCGGTTAACGGTTAATAATCGGTTAACGAGCGTTGGTTGTCAGTTAGGAAAAATAACCGAAATGAACATCCCTAATTGTTACATCCTAAGACTTTCACAGAATAATGCAAGTTTTAAATCGACAGATAGGGCTGGGCTAATGCTAACAAAGTGAATTTATGTATGTCTGTGCAGTTGTCAGCAGGGCATGCATTTTATTGTGATGCCTGTAGTTGCATCTTTACATTTAAAATCTTAGCGTTGGCTTTCCACCCAAGATAGTGCTTATAATAATTGATGAAAAAGTTAGTGATGCACAATATATTGGTTCCATCAGTTGTCGGACAGTATTAAAGATTTGCTAATTAGATATTTATGCTTGCTCTAAGCAAGTAGGACACTCCGAATGCGACCTTCTTTCACAGGATTTCGGAGGATGCATGAGGTGTATCCTTCGCTGCTACAGATAACCCACAATTCTTTGCGTCGCCGTGAACAACCGTTGTTAATTTGTAAAATGCCGGCGCCGACAGATGTAACACACACAAGCGCAGATGTGGTGTTTACAACTTGCCTTAATTTTTTTGGAGGATGTTCCGTTCAGCCAGTCACGGTGAGCTTTTAATCCAAATCATTTTATTCTCCCGCATCCCGCACACACACAAATTTCCGAAGAGAGATTTCGAACACACACAGCGGAGAGATTTCAGCATGGAGGATGAAAACCACACTCAAAAAAAATTTAAAGCTCACCGCGATTGGCTGAACGGAACATCCTCCAAAAAAAGATATTTATGAATCTTAACCTGCCAGGAAGGTCTCAAAAATACCACACACAAATTCAAAGCAGTCCACGCATGATATATAACTTGATATAGACATATCTGTGTAAACATTTTAAATGTATTTAGGTAAGATGCATTTGGGGAAATATTTATGCTTTTACTTGCGTATTTATGAATTGTGTTTTGAATTTACAAATCGGATTTTGTAAATGTAAATTGTGCTGTGCATTTATGAATTTTGTTTTGCAACTGTGTTATTTTTTAGGCTGATCTGTCTCCATACTCCAAAGATATCTCTCCAAATGTGATTGCACAGCAAGCTCTAAATGACTGTGTGTACATAACCTATCCCCTTTTTGAATAACATAGGACACAAATACGTTGAGAATAAAAAGATTTATTCACTATTTTAACTAACCAGTTTATTCTTCAGTACATGACTACTATGTTAGGTAATAAAGCATATTATTATCATATCTTAAAATCAGTTATACTCTGAAACTGATGTATTTCTATATTTATTTTCATTTCAGTCAGTCTTACTAGTATTTTTGACTTTTCTAAGAGCTCTGCAATATAATGACTTCACAAAGGGTGCTAGAGAAAAGACTCACATACTGTCATGGATATTCAGAAGGTTGAGAGCACACAGCAGGCCACACTGTACTGTAAACTGCCTTTTCAGTTTACAGCACAAGGAAACACTTGTGCATTTCAAATTATTAGCCCGTAGGCAGTTTTTGAATGGAAATGCTAATCTTGTTAAAGGAATAGTTCACCCTAAAGTGAAAATTTACCTTCAGGCCATCCAAGACATTCCATCACTTGCTCGGCAATGGATCCTCTCGTCTGCAGTGAAGGGTTAGAATTGAGAGTTCAAGCTGCTGAAGAAATCAGCATCATAATCCACAACACGACTCCAGTCCATCAATTAACATCTTGTGAAGCAAAAAGCTGTGGATTATTGTGGTGTTTTTATCAGCTGTTTGGACTCATTTTGACGAGTGAGCAAGTGATGTAATGCTGAATTTCCCCAAATCTGTTCCGATGTAAATTTTCTGCAAATGTTCAGTAGTAGATTAACTATTCCTTTAATGCAGGGTACTTGCAGAAACTTAAAAATCTAAGTATGGTTTATCAAAAACAACTGTTTAAACTTTCAGAACATTGAAAATCATCAAAAGGCTACAAAATATTATCAAATATGATTTTATTTTGTTACCTTTACCATCCAGCACTAAAAATGGATCCATTGGTTAATATTTACCCAACAAAATGGTGTTGAGCTAGTGCACAGCAAAGGTCACAGTGCAAGTCTCATTATGCACTGAAATAAGCACATGTAGTATAGGTCAAAATGCCCCGGTTGTCCATTTAAATCGAACTTTTTAATATAGTATGTTTATTCTTGTGTGGCTATTTCCTGTTTCCTCCACTGGCTAAAAATAGAAAAGTGTCTGGGTAAGCGTTTAATGAAATAATGTGTTTTCCTGCTTTGGGAATGCGTGTATGATGCAGGGACAGACACAACCACCCAACCCAGTGTTTATACTTTGAAGACATGCAGGAAACTGAGAGATACTGTGTGAATGTAAAGTATAAAAGAAAACAAGAGGAGGGGGTGATGTGTCTAATTTTTTTCCCACAAAGTTAAAATAGCAATGAAAACCCAAAGGTCAGATAACCAGCATAGATCATCCCACATACAAAAACATGGAGAATCCAGATAGGTAGAAACTAGACAAAAATATTTATTTCAATGTTGACAAGTGGACATAACTAGACACATCTGTTAACCTCTGGTTAAAACGTATGGTCCTTTGAAAGGATATACTAGGAACAGCTGTAGAGCATCTACAGATTCTTTCAACTTCCAGGCCAATTATGTCAGCCTGTACTCCGGTCAAAGAGTCTGATTATCAGAGAGTCATATCTGAATGCACACTGCGAGTAATCATGCATGAGCAGACCCATTTTTAACATGTACGCAATAGATAAATCCGCATCTGCCTCTTACATTTCATAATACAAAAAAACAAGCAGTTCTCTTACTGCTTTTGAGTCAGAAAATCTTGCTTTACATCACTGTCTGGTATACAAACATTGTAAAACGCTAAAAAAAAGTTCAACAAAAGTAATATTTTAAAATTAGGAACCTAATAATGAATCTAAAATCTACTATTGGTCCTAGTCTGGTTGTACATAACACATTCAAAATGCATTTCTAAAACTGTTGTCACCCATAAATGTGTTTTTAAGCAGTATAGGGCAGGGGTTTTCAATTTTTTAGATGCCACAGACCACCAAATATGATCATCCTGATGTGAGGGCCCCCCCCCCCATCCTAAAATGTAAAATGTAGCTATATATTTTTAACATATAAATATATGTAAAAGATTATTTGGAAAATATTTAGTTTTTTTATGTTATAAAATAGCACTGTACTGTTAGATTATTTATTTATTTAAATCTATTTTTAAATCAATTTATTTTAATTCGTTTTTTATTTATAAACTTTTCCACTGACCCCATAGAATTTATTTTATTTCAGCTAGTTGTCAAGACAACATTTCTCATTTAAAACTAAAACTGAATTAAAAATTAATAGACACACACACACACACACACACACGTGCATGCATGCATACATACATACATAGATAATTAACTAACTATATAGGCAATAACTAATAAAAATGACAAAAACACAACAAAATAACTAAAACTTTAAAATGATAGTAAATATAACAACAGAAACTAATTCAAAATATCAATAAATATTCTATCAGTATCTCATTGATACTAGCACTCCCTTTCTGTCCCCCGGGAGTCTCCAGACCTCGGTTTGAAGCAAACCATCTGGCACAGTTGGACATACAATGAAATGTATTTGTATTAAAGAAGCTACATTTTATTTTAAACGTATTTTCTTTCCTTCCTTCATACTGGGGGAGAGGTAGATGATGATGACGGTTGTGGTGGTTTAAAGTCTTG